CCACATGAAACTAAGTCACTTTTGGCCCCGCATGATGCGCATATTGATCTCGCTCTGTCACTGATGTGCAGACGACAGTTTGCCCAGACTTTAGCGGTGACAAATCCCGCGTCGACGCTTCCCTGCAAACAACACAAAGTCGACGTTTTAACCCCAAACGCAGCAACAAGCACTTGCTGTTGTTTACCTTTTTTTTTTTTTTTTTTTGGGAGGGGGCGGGGTGTGTCCCCATCCCCTCACGACTAATTCCGGGCAGCCGCTTTTCCCGGAAGGGTTTCCCCGGCGACTGCAAAGGTTAAAGAATTGTGCCCTCATCAGCGTCGGTGACAGAAGCTTCGCACGGGTCGCTCGAAGAGAGCCCATCGCGGCGGTCCCACCCCCCCCTAGCCCCGTACTTCATAGAGAGACTAATACGCTGTTGTCTGAGGTCAGGACCCTCTTTAGATGGGGTGCAGTGATGTCAATTGTTTAAATAAAAGTTGAGAGGAACCACTTACATGTTTACAGACATGCCCATAATTACGTCACAGGCCATTACCCGGCAGGAGGCCAGGCGCTAAGGCGGCCCGATCCGGATCGAAGGGATCTCGTCATTATGAAGCGATCGACTCCGAGGATTGATTTGCTCATTATTTTGGATATGAGAGCAATTTGGACGAGGGAGGGACGGACTCACAATAAAAGTGAATTCACATCAAGCGCGCTAACGATGGATTGAGTGAGATGACTTCGAGCTGACAGTCACCTCGTCAGGCACGCTCGAGAGAATGAAATAAAAAAAAAAGAGAAAAAAAAACGACAATGGTGGAAATGCAGCTACCTCATTATCCTTTGTGTCTAATGGGAGGGAAGACTTTGACTCCCAGTCAAAGTGTCTCTCGAGTCTTGAGGGATCGGCGCGTTTGAAGGCTGACGGGGTGCTGATGATTCTCTGATTATTCGATATTCTGAAAACGTTCATTTCCCTAATTCCTCTCCACATCACAGGGGCGAGGCCTGGTGAGTGTCTCATCTTGCCCTGCGCTGCGCACAGGGGGAGGTTCAGGCTCCTGGAGGAACGCAGTCATCTGGGCTTTGAAGAGCGCCCCTGTAAGCCCCCCCCC